GGTGCCGCGGTGGGCAAGTGACGTAACCGGTGTTGCGGATTAACAACGGTGTCACCGTCAGCACCGTCTATCACGGCAAGCCTATTAAACAGGAAGTGAGATTATGAAATCATATTACTTAACTTGCTTTATTATTATTCCTGTTAATAATACTTTAGTTTTTATGCATTTTGTAAGAAAATGACTAAAGAGACGTCTAGGAACATGATGGCTGGGCTTATGCACACTCTTTGAACTTTTAATTAGTGTTTTCCCTTGCAAATTTGTGATCCCTCTTCTGCAACAGGCTGTGTAAATGCAGACATAATCATCTGAAGAGGTACACTAGTATTCAAAGGCTTGAAGTCAGTACAATTCTTTTCAAAAGTGACCGAAAAGACATTTATAATCTTTCTGTTTTAAATAAATATGGTTCTTTTGCACTTCCTTTAAAAAGTATTATGGTGTCCACAAAAATATTAAGCAGCAAAACTGTTTTCAACATAAAATCAACAAAAAACAATCAGCATATCAGAATGATTTCTGAAGGATCATGTGACACTGAGGACTGCAGTAATGGTTGCTGGAAATTCAGATTTCCTATCACGGAAATAAATTACATTTTAAAATACATTAAAATAGAAAACATTTATTTTAAATAGTAACAATGTTTCACAATATTACAGTTTTTATGAAAAAAATAAATTATGCTCTGTATTCATGATCAAATAAATGTAGCATTGGTGAGCATTAGAGACTTCTTTCAAAATCACAAAACAATTTGACCGACCTCAATGGTTTTGTATTCTGTATAATCTTTTAACTGTTAACCGATTAAGCACGCCTAGAGTGTTCGCATAGCTAAACAAATTGATTGGCCTTTGTCTCCTGTCTTCCCAAGGATCTTCACTTGCCATTGCATGTGAAATTTGTTTATTTATGACTTGGATTGAGCTGGATTTAAACGTAAGAAAACAGCACTAAACTGACAGTTCTACTGTCTTTAAATGTAAATGTGTTCTTGGCAAGAGAACAGGCTCTTTCCGTCTCCTACTGATGTGAGAGAGAGGAGGCTCATGGATAATTAAATCCAGTCTGACTGAGTCACATTCCATTTTGAGAAGATGATCTCACCACTGCGCATTTACGGCTTCAGACAGCGAGAGAAGATAACGGTGTGGGAAATCCCGCATTGAGGTGCCAAATCACAGAAGTCAGGCCAGGGGCCATGGTTAATGTTGTGGTGGTGTGACTTTGGAGTCAAGTGATTTACACCTGAACATCCATCAGCTGATGTGGTTCTTTAAAGTGTTCTTTGAAAACCTTCAACTGTGACAAACTTTCAGCTAAACCAAAAACGTAGTTTACAGTGGTTTCCTTTGGGGTTTTTTTTGTTTTAAATCTCTTTCTTTATAGTACTGAACTCATACCTTGATCTCTCCATCATTGGCGAAGTGACCCAGGGCAGCCATGATTTTAGGAATTGAAGAAGAAAGAGTTTCCTGCACAGTCTCCTCCTGACGTTTTGTGATCCGCGTCAGACACGGCAGCAGATTCACAAGGTACGGCCTGAGAAAAAAGAGAGGAGGATTCGTGTGCGTTTGCTGATTATTACAATTAGAAGCATGAATTTCATTTTGTAATCATTAACCCAATATCAGTTTCACTTATTCCTGAGCAGACCAATAGAAGTAATTGACTTTAAGTTAATAAGCATACCTGCATTTCTGTGGACGCACTAGGTGAGCAAGTTCAGCAAACCTCCACAAGGCTGCGCGTAGACTCCGAGAGGCAGCGTTCTGTGAAAATAAAAAGAGTAGTGCTTTATTAGTGATCTGTACATGTCCCTAGAAAAAACAAGACCCCTGTACCTACGAAAACTATATGGAATGCCATTTCAAAAACACTCTCCCCCAGAAAAAAACAATAAAGCATTGTTTATACCAAGAAAAAAACAAAACAATGAATCACAGACTGTCTATTCGCACCCAAAGCAAAACAAAATGTAACTCTTATAACCACTACATCAAATCTAAAAAGAGGGGGAAGCCAAGACAATTTTTTTTTCCTTGTGAAAATACGTTCAAATCGAATAAAGAGAATGCAATCCGATTTACCTTTTTAATCTCTTTGTACAGTTCAAGCTGCAGCCTAGGCAAGTTGGAATCCATCAATGCCTGCA